TTTTTGAAATACAACCCCAAACAATTAAGATCCTACCACTGTGATTCACAGTTTGCAGTACATGATGCGCTTAGGCTTAATTTGGGTCTTTGATCCAATACCATGCCCGGCCATCTGATTGAAAGCGATTAATTTAGTCTTGTCAGACCAAATAACCTTCAATTGAAACTTAAAAATATGTTTTTTACTGCATTCTTTGCGCTCAATTTGGCAATTCTTCGCCTCGCTGTCTATTGATTTGCATTAAAGTTTAATACCTTAAGCGCTTCTGTAATAGTGGCTGCATCGCTACTTGCTTCTAAGTTCACAAGATATCGTACCGTAATATTTTTCAACAGACTTCCTCTGTCCTTGGGAGCACTTTAGGCTATATTTTTTCTAAGTCTTAACATTTTTAAGTAGCAAATTCCAAAATTTTTGCCACTTTTCGTGCGGTTCCGCCTTTCCGCAGTAAATCTATTATTTACATTTATAGTTCCTGATTAACTATGTTATTTACTGGTGATCACTTCTTCAATAAATTACAATATAGAAAAAAGTCATCTGACTTCCAACTAAGTAAAAGATAACTGTCAAATGCAAAACTGAGAGTAAGTGCAAAACTGTAAAATTTGCCTTAATTTACATTTTTGTCTGCTGGGTTTTTTTTTATTGTTGTTGTATTGACTTCAAATTGATATGAGAGAGGGAGTAGGGATGTACCAACAAGAATATACAACAAAAGGATGAAAGTCGTTAGAACTTGGAAACATAGCGGTGGGTGAATTAAAAAGTGTTAAACCATGTTACAGTTTTGCTCGTCACTGTACATACCAAGGCACACTTGCCGGCTGTCAATTCATTCTCACATACATATACATACATACATACACACAAAAATGCATTCGATGCACTCAGTAACTCGCCTTCTTGCCATATTCGCACAGACAAAAAGGCGCAGAATGCAAAAATTTATATAAAAACAAATTAAAATGTTCGGCTGTCTATTTTTGGCCCAGACGAAGGGGCGAAAACCTGCTGCGCGGCTTTTGCCATTTTTGCGTAGGCGCACATTGACGCGGTGGCGTCGTTGTCGCCAAGTTTTCTGTTCGCACTGCCGTTGGACAAAGTGCAATCAGCTAAACGCCGCGTGCTGCTTAGGCTGCGGCAGGGACGATGGAAAGGCACTGCAACAATATAATTGTAGTTGCATACAATTTATTTTATTAATTTAAAATTTTCACAACTGACAATCCTGCCATACCATCTCATCGGTGATATCGCTTTGGCCTAAAACCCATTAACGATTGATACCGAAGTAATCTAATGTCAGCGAGGGAGAAGTCAGGTATTGTCGAATAGTTTTCGAACCTTTCATCAAAGAGCCAAAGCTCTGATCAGAATATCGCCCACCTTCTTCAAAAGAGGCACGACTCAAAATTTGACATTTTTGAAATAATACGCTAAAAATGTACAAAAAGCTTTTATTTACCTTTCAGCAAAAGCTGGAGCCAAGGCACATTAAACAGGTAGTATCAGTAGAGCAAAAACAACATTTGCGTGTATTTTGTTGTTGCTTCTGGTATCGAAAGTGTCAACAACTGTTCTGAATTTTTTCTTCTAAATCAAAGCGTGCCATGTGAAATACAAAAAATTATAAAAATAAAAAATTGAAATTGGAAAAAATAAAAATTGATGCAACTTTCTTTCCTAGTAAATTTGTTTGCTTCTCGAAGCATTGATCCATCCTTTGCAAGGCCCAGTAATCAGCGGTCGTGCTGCCGAGTTGGGCGAACGTTCCAAAAGCTGCTATTGAATCGCTTGTTTTGTATGGAAAAAGGTTTCACAAGCAAATGGATTTTAACAACTTATAATTTTCGTGAGAAAAAATTAAAAATATTTGACATTTTCGAGACCAAATAATTTGAAAATAAATCAAATCAGCTGCTCTACTGATACTACCTGTTCAATGTACCTTGGCTGGAGCAAATTTTTGTTATAGTTTGTCAAAAAAAAAACAACTCAAGGCAAAGTCTCGCTTGGCCATAGGATTATCATGTGCTAAGAAATAGTTTTTCGCATTTTCTTACAAACGTGTAATTTTGAGTTGTGCCCCTTTTGAAGACGATATGCGATATGTACATATTAGCTTTTGCCCGCTGCTCCACCCGCGCGAAGTTCGGTTTAACGTTATGATAGAATATAAATTATATCAGCCGAAACTAATAGATACATTTTATTAACAAAATTAACACAACAGATCTCTTTTTGGTTACCACATGTCGGCATGGAACTACGCGATGTCCTTTGGCGGCTGATTTCTCTTATGGAAATTAGATTTCATGCCAGAGACCAGCACGGAACAAAAGTGATCCGATGTTAGATTTTGTCATTTGTGAAAAATATTCGTTTAGATTCTTGCATTAAAATCAAAAAAAATTTCACTTCATTGAAACGTAAAAAATTACCGGAAATTAAAATATTTACGTTTGATTTGTATTTCCCTTAATCGATTCGTAAAATTACAATGCACCCTGTGTAATGGTGCTTTGACTTTCTTGACATAGGTTTGTGTCTGTAATATTCAAGCAGTGGTCATCTTTTGCTTTGCTCAGCGCGTTCGTCAGCAACAGAGTTGTTATTTCGCGGCGTGGCAACGGCCGATTTCAAATGTCAACCAGGTGCAAAGTGGCAAAGCGAATAAAAACATTCAAAACGGCGACTGCGCCCGCGAATTTCAAGTGATTTGTGAGAAAAAGAGTGCAAAATCTGCAAAAGGATAATGTGAAAAGCGAGTTATTTGCAGGGCAAAACACTGCGCAAGGATATAGAGAAATAAAATGCCTTACGGACATTGGGGATAACTGCTGTGTCCTGTTTAGTCAGTGGCAGTTTTCAGTGGATATTCGTTGTGTCTGGGCGGTACGGACCTTTGTAAAGTGTTTAAGTTTTAGTGAAAAGTTGTTTTTAATATATTTATACTTCAATTGAATATTTAAAAAGTATGTAAATCTACAAATAAAGAAAAAGCAAGGTGCTTACACCACAAAAATTGCAGCAATAAAAATGAAATAGTAGTGCAGTGCACGAAGTGAATTACGGCTTGCTGGTTTGTTTGAATTACCGCCTGTCTGGCTGCCTGCCTACCTGGCTTGGTAGTCTACATGCTTATCTACCTAAACAATCCGATTCACAATTTTATCCTGTGGGAATAAAAGAAAATCTTCGCTGTGCGACGCTTTGAAAAACTATGCTGTATGCAAAACCGGAGCAGCAACCTCCA